TGTGCATTTCTCTTAAATACGTGTGGTGGTGGGGGGGGGGGATTTTGATCAAAACTGACTTAAAAGGTAATCATAAACCGCAATGCACTCGAGAAGACAGAAATGAACTTAGATACAAGAGCATAACTAGTTGATTCTAGATTACATACAGGTGTTAGTGAGTTTAGCGTGTTGTATGTAGCCCATTGCTAATAAGACCGGCCAGAAATTTGTATTGGCTTTAGTCGTTGTGTTGACGGATGTGTTAGTTAGGAGGTGATACATTACTAACTAAAACTCAGGTAGCAGAAGGTATGGGGTACTTTTGGAAACAGATCTGAAGTATGCATTTATTAAAATTGGCACAAAAAGTACGGGAAACACACCGAATCGAATGCCCCATAACCGAAATAGACGCATGAGTTCATTATCTTTCTTTTTAACATAAACAATCAAGAGGAAAATTAATCACATGTCCGATTTCCTTAGAATATAAAAGCTTACATGTATATCTACTTTGCACAGAGACATCAGCACAGGAAGAGATTATTACAATGTAGCACAGATGATAAATAGTGGTGATATGTGGAAATACCAAGAGCTTTCAGTCTTAAAAAAAAAAGACTGGATGCATGGAAGTCTGTAGATATACTAGAATTTAATCTGCAGTGCGAATAAACATAAACATTAAACTTTCCTGTAATATATATATGTGTGTGTATATGTATATATATATCAAAGCAAACACCGTTAAATCTATTAAAGTATAAAAATCAAATATAAGGTCAGGACTATAATGTGCTAGAAGAGGGGCAGATAAAAAGATAAACAATAATAACAATACAAATATAAACAATAATATAAATTATATTGCAGTGATAAGAAATTAATTTATATTTCCTTTCCTGCATGTTGTTATCTGTAAATTTAACACTTGGTGACTGTTGTGACCTAACCATTTTTACAGTGTATTTACTACTAAGCTACTACTACAAATAGGAATATCTTTTATGTTGCTATAACGGCCATTATTGTATTTATTTGTTTCAGTTACATTCTTCCTAATGCCTTTAATATTATCATTACTATCATCATCAAAATCATTAGTGTCATTTTGATATATTCATTATAATTGTGACGAGTATCAGTACTATCCAAATATTAAGATCATTCTCTTTATAATAACTGATGCTGTTGATACTAAATTCAGTGAAGTGTTTATTATAAACGCTTTTTCTTATGTGATCATTAATAACTGAATACTGTTCCAAATATAAATATTGTTATTAATGTTACAACTACCATTACTTGTATTTTCACATTATCATTAGTATCACTGTTGTAATTACAATATCACTGTCATCAATATTCACTGTTTTACCACTAATAATAACAATATCAATGTCATAACCAATTATTACCATTTTCATTATTAAAAGCATTATTGTCCCTAATAGATGTAAATTACAGTTTCTATTATCATTTTCATTTATCATCAATAATGATAATAATAAAAGTAATGAAAATGAAAATGATAATGATAATTATAATAACAATAATAATAATAATATCATTAATATCATTATTACAGCTATTGTTATAATCATTAGCATTGCCATCATCATTAATATGATTATCATTATCATTATTGTAAAACCATAATTATCATTATCATTATTGTAAAACCATAATTATCATTATCATTATTGTAAAACCATAATTATCATTATCATTATTACTATGAATATCATCATTATCATTATCATTATAGTTTGTACCATTATCATTATCATTATAGCTTTTACCATTATCATTATCGTTATCATTACTTTTAGCATTATCATAATTATCATTTGAAGATGGTAATAATGATAATAATATTGAAAAAGATAAAGATATCATCATAGTAACGATAATGATGATGAAGTAAATGATATAAATGATAATAATGGTAATAATGATAATAATAATGATGACAATGATAATGATAATAACGATAATAACAATATAAAAACAATAATAACTATAATAATAATAATGGTGATGATGATAATAATAATAATAACAACAATAATAATAATAACAATAAAAACAATAATAATAGTGATGATATAATAATAATAATTATAATAATTATAATAATAATTATAATAACAATAATAATAATTATGATGATAGTAACAATAACAATAATGATGATAATAATAATGAGAATAGTTACAATAATGGCAATATCAAATAAAATCATTATTATTATAGTGATGTTAACAGTAGTAACAATAGTGATAACAATAATAATAACGATAACGATAACAATAATAACAATTATAACAACGATTCTAATAATGATGACAGCAAGGAAAAGCAACAAGAATCACAAACCGACTAAAACAATAACAGAAGTCAAAGTCATATTTATTCGTTGTAATATTTCTAAAATGTTTTGATGAATGCAGACTATCTGACAAAGTCCCGTGCAAAACAGCTCTTAGTGTACGCGTGTTCAAAGCAAAGCAGTCGTGCAAATAAATACGAGGTAGATACAGTAAGTAGTTCGTGGCATTAAGACTTAGATGTAGTTCTTGCATGCAGAGAAGCAGGATCCTTGCTTTTGGAGGCGTAGGTTATTTTCTCACGCACACAGATAGAGTGCATGTTATTTCCCAAACGAGGGAGTGGAGAATGCATGTTTTGAAGCAAGATTTCCAGATGTACAGCACGGTGCATGGTGTGCGTATAAAAGCAGGATGTGCGAGAATGCTGGTATTATGAATGACATATGCAAGGAGACAGGAAGGCAGGGAGGCAAACAAATGCATGATTACATGGGAGAAGTTAGATTGCATGTCGCTGCTCATGGAGATGGATAAGGACATGACTGAGACACGGGAGGAGAGTTACTTAATGGGTGGTATTAGTCTGTCCTTTTGAAATGGTAATGAAAATGTGGAAGAAAAAAAAGAGAGAGAGGAAAAGAAGAGTGTTAAAAGAATGTTGTTTTACAAGCGATGCAGAGGAGGTTATTGCATGGCCTCGGAGGTTTAAGCGAGATAGAACAGAAGAGTAAAAATATGCTTTACGCTGACAGAAGCTTTGGGGCTGAGGGAAAATTCATGGCGACTTGAATGGGAAACAAAAATGAGAAGAAAAATAAATAACGCTTGCTGGTATCAGTATAACATTGCATAGCACAGTGGCAAGGACTCTCAAACAGTAAGGAAAAAGACCCGTGTATAAAAGAACATAGAAGTATGCAAAACTTGAGATGACACGAAAGGACGTCAAATAACTTCACTCTTGTTACCAATGAGAATTCCTTTACGATAGACATGACAAGATGCATTCCAGAATACAGATGATGATTATGATGTTGCTTACGATGATTTTCCTCTTACGGTCGTTACTAGTTCATATTCCAATAAATCGATTAATTTAGAGAGGATTATATTTTGTTGACTTAGAGGGAAAAGAGGGGAAGGAAGGAAGGTTATGAAAGTAAATAAATTCATTTTCAAGAGGAAGGTCACTAGAATCTACTGTATTCCTCTAGTGTTGATCTGTGAGTTGCTATGCAATGTGTGAAGGAATGTGGAGAGTGAGAAGGAGAGCAGAGAGGGTGATTGACGGGAATGAGTGAATGAGTACATGACTTCAAAAATGTATGGCGGATCAGACATAAGCACATTTACGCTCGAGGCTGAAAAGACTCTGTGCGTGTGTGTGTGTGTGTGTGTGTGTGTGTGTGTGTGTGTGTGTGTGTGTGTGTGTGTGTGTGTGTGTGTGTGTGTGTGCGTGTGCGTATGCGTATGCGTGTGCGTGTGAAGAGAGAGAGAGAGAGAGAGAGAGAGAGAGAGAGAGAGAGAGAGAGAGAGAGAGAGAGAGAGAGAGAGAGAGAGAGAGAAATAATGTAAGGATTAACAACGTGATGCACTGCGAAATCCCGCCGATGCAGCGATGGAATTTAATCATAATCTAGAAAGATAACGCCAGTGCCTCCAAGAGTCCTCGATCATGCTGGAGATTCAGCAAAAACGAACAGACACACACAGACGCATGCGTTGCCCTTGAATCCAACATGGCAGTGAAGACGTGGAGAAATTCGCTGGGGGTTAATTCGTCCAGAGCCGCGAGAGAGGGAAGGAATAACTCAGCCATAACCCCGGGCGGTTCAGCTTTAAGAGGACTAAAAGCTGCATGAGGAGCGTTGCAGCTGCCGTCCGCCCGCAGTTCTCTTTTCATTAGCGCTAATTAGTGTTAGATTAATTCATCCAAGGGGGCGCGCCGTCCCCTTCTCCCCCCTTCCCTGTCTGTGCTTCGTCCGCCTGCCGAAATGGAGCATCCAACGCCTCTCGGGGAGTCTCGTTCGCCCGTTTCCCTCGTTAGGCTCGCTCGCTCGTTAGGCTGCTTCCCTGCCTCCATCTCCGGGCCGCTTCGTTCCCGCCTTCGCCCGGGCCGCCGGCTTATCAGCTCCAGCTGCCCGGAACACGAGTCTCCCGCTCCGTAGCCAGGGAAATAATTGGTGGTCATGTCATCCCAGCGGGCGGTGGGTGGCGGCTGTGTGTCTGTCTGTAGGGGTGGTGGTAGGGGGAAGGGAGGGGGGGAGAAGAGGAAGAGGGTGGAGGAAGAGACGACGCGACGGCGGGCTTTGCAACAGGAAAGTACCTCTGCAACAGGCCTCGCCGAGCGTAATAACTTGTCAGTTGAATGAATATGAATATTACACGCTTGCCTACAAGTGCCCCGACGTTAATACCCGACTGTTAACCTGGTCTCTAGGGCGTCTTTACCAGCCTTTGGGACACTTTGGGACGCTGCCCATTATGTGTAGACGCAGTCCGTGTGGAGATGGATATTTCATGGTGATAAGCGAGTCACGATGTCACACCCATCTAGAGGAATTTTTTTTTATTGTTATTGTCGTTTCGGATACGATAACACACGTAATAATCGAGTGAATGCCGTTCTCTTTTTGGTATTCTTTTAATCAGTCACATTGGCTAGGATGGAGCGTTTTGTCTTACCTTGAGAGGCCGTAGCCATGGTATAAGACGATGGCGGAATGTTGGCGCAACAATTGTATAGGTACACAGCAGGTGTAAGTTATGTAGTTAGGGATATGCTCGCCACGGCTCCATACTGCCATCACCGTGTGCGGATCAACACTGGCCACTAGACCTGCGCGCAGGGGGTCGGCGGGCTCCACCAATGGCGCGCCTCGCCCCGCCCACCGCCCGCTGGCCCCGCCCACTTCTTCGAGACCCGCGCCGGCTCCGCGCTCTCGGTCTAACCCTAAAACCCTGCCGAGACATTTCTCTCTTTCTTTTTTCTCCTCCTCCCCCCATCCCTATTTTGTATATGCTTCACACATTTAATGTTTTAGTTACAGTGTTCGAGATATTATGCCGGGCTGAGGTTTTGAAATTGGATCTTTCTTCAAGAACAATCACGGACAGGATTTTGCCTCAAAATGTCTACCTCACCCGCCATCTCGAGAGAGCTCGCGCACCCGCCAACCGACAGCAAAGACCCCAGCGTATCCCAAAGACTTTATATGTTCTAGACTGAAGTTATTACATTTATCATACTGAATGCACTGGTAGCCTGGTGTGCGGTGGGGAGTGTACAGGGGGAGGAGGGAGAGGAGGGGAGCCTGGATGGCTGTCGGGGGGGGGGGGGCGCTTCCCCCCTTCTCTCCTCCGTAAGAAGTTGCTCCATTACATTCGTGCTTGAGCCAGCCGTAGATATACATATTTTTCTCTCTTCATTTTCCTATATTTTTCTCCACGTCAACCATTCCTCGGAAATGGTAGTGTCCCATGACTATCTGTTTAATCTCAACGCGTTCGACTCAGGCAAACCGTAAAAGGGGTCTCCTCATTCAAGATACAAGGCTGTTCATACCCTACCCCTGTTTTAAACTTCCCAAACGAAGGGTCTTGTTATTATCAACACAGGCGAGGGGAAGGGAAGAGGAAGCGTGTGCTAAAGGAACTATGGGCGTATTTCCAACCGCGAATGAAGACTCGAGAAAGAAGGGGAGGGAGAACGAAAATGAAGTCTGTTGGAGGATTAAGGTTTTGGCGAGCGCTGACGAATGGGCAAAGGGGATTGAGGATTTTAAGGATATGAAAAAGGGTTAGGGGAGGAGGGAAAGGGGTTGAAATATGAAGCGTTGAGAGAATAAAAAAGAAAGAGGGAGAGAGAAAAGAGGAAAACATAGACGGAGAGGAACTGTTAAGAAGGGTAGAAGGTGAGGATGAACACTGAATATGTCGATAGGTAATAGAGTGCAAAGCGACGGATATAGAAACAGGGCGTTATAGCAAAATGGACTAGCCAGACACACGGCGCTTCAGAGGGAAAGGAAAGAACGTAGAAACTATAAGTTCCGAAAAGGAAAATTAAATATAGAAAAAGGAAAGTGAAAGTGAGACAGGAGAAGGAGGGTGTGGGATAAAAATGGTGGAGCCGTTAGGGAGGTGAAGTTAAAAAGTAAAGGGGAGATGAACATTAAAATTTTAAAGGGGAGGGAGAGCTTAGGGGGCCAAGGAAGAGGCAAAGGTTGAGGAGGAGCAAAGGAAGGGAAGAGAAAGGTGAGGGGTTAGAGATAGACAGATATATCAATATATCAGCTTTCCTCCGTATCTGTAACTACTGCTTGTACCCATGTACACTTATATACACACACGCTTAAAACGTACACACAGTCACGCAACACATATTCATACACGAGCACACAATACACATAAGCAGCGCGCGTATGAATACACGTAAAAACAAAAAGAAAAGAAATAGCGAAAGAGAAACAAGGAACGCGCTGAAAATTCATACTCACGATACATACTTCACAAACGACATGCCTCAAACACTCCGCATTCTTTACACTATATATACATTCTACATACAACGCGCGCCCCTCATTCGGTATGCCTCACACACTGTATGCCCCCTCCCCCTGCCTCTCCCCCCCAAACACAGTATGCCCCAGACACTGCCTGTCTCTCCACCGTAGAGTCTGTTGATAGTCAAACTCAAAATCTTTAGACTGTATTGAATAAAAAACAATTATTCTGCGGAAATGGACTTTCTCAAAATAGTACATCGGGGGCGAGAGACTAACCCCGTCGCGTTTGCACTGTGAAAGCAGTACAAACAATTTCTTTGAATTTCACTGGCAAAACGAAGATCTTGAGAATATTGTATTTAAACCTTCAATGTTGCGAGGAGTGCATTTGAAGGGGGGGAGAGCAAGGGCGATCGAATGAACTGGATGGCATTCTCCTAACGATTTTCAGGAGGGAGGGAGAGAAAGAGAGGATGGGGGAGAGAGGAAGGCGGAGGGAAAAACACCTCGCCATTTTTTTACGTTTAACACTTTTGTTGAAAATGCTGTCGATGAGATTTTTTTTTTCCTTTTTTGATATCGATTTGTCAGTGTCTGTGGTAATTCATAGTACAATTGTTACGTAGCACTCAAATACGTAAACTAAACCGAACCTCGGTATGAATAACGTTACGTTATAACTTCAGAGCACACAAAATGTAAACTACATCTACATATAGCCACATCCACATACATAATGCCTCTTCTCGTGCGCCAAACATATTCTCCATCTTGTTTAGCAAGTTTGGAAGTGCTGGTCCCCGAGGCGGCATTC